ATTATACAAATAACCCGGAAGATAGGAGAATTTACACCGTACCGAATGACAACTCTGAAATTCTAAAAGAGTTGGGACTTATGTTCCTAAAAGAAAAGATGGAGATTTATGTTGCACTAGGCAGACCTCCTCGAAGTCTTCTGGATTTGTTTTTGTTTAAACTAAGGAAATGTTTTATCGATGTAGTTCCGCCCTGCTGTAGAACATTAGCCACTTTCTGAAGTCGACCTCCATTCCCTTGTAGCTTACTTCAAACTCCTTACCGTAGTAGCAACTCCAAGGTTTATGGCTTTATATCTTTTTTTTTTATTTGGATTATTGTTGTTAAAATTAGAGGATGTGTCTGTTCATGTGTCATAGTGATCCATCCTAAGCAATCAGAATATTGTTCTCTATCATAAAGGTCCGATATGTATAGAAAAACAATGTACTAAATAGAAGGACTGTAAAAGCGTAGTAAAAGAAGTACAGTGAAAGGTAGTAAATCACAAAATCGAACACCTTAGTCTCTGCTATTGCTACAAAAGGGTTAGTACAAAAAACATAATATAGAAAGAAGATTTGAGTAAATGCAAGAAATTTAAGCAAAACGTGTGAAAATCTAATACAATAAAAACTTAAGTAAATAGTAAGAAAACACGAATCGGGTAAAACAAAACTGGTCGTTGTCACACATAGAAGATCGGGGCAAAATGTAAGAATTTGGTAAATGTTGTCACTAATAGGGCCTCCACATTGAGATTTATTTGCATATTCTGAAGAGAAACTCTTGTGCTTCTTCAACCTAACTGATCAAGCATACCCTTTTTTATTTAAGCTGCTATCTAGCACGGCTAGGGTGTAGAGGCTCCTCAACTCAGGCAGGGTGTTAGTTCTATGTGGGAACCTTTTCAAATTTGTAGGTGAACCTCTCTTTTTTTTCTTCTTCTTGGAGACATCATTGTCGTTTCTCGACGAGTATAAGTCATACTTCTACCGATTCTACCTATTGAGGGCCATTGGGCTTAAAGACTTCTTTCTTTTGACATTAGGGCTGCTGAGATTTGCTTGGTCGATGCAATATGTGGGTTGTTGACAAGGAGTCTCTGGTCATGTTGGTCGACTACCTTCATGACAAGGTAGACTTGGGGTCCTAAAACCTTGGGGTGACGGATCCATGGAGTCCCAGCCCAATTATCTCTACTCGATTAGCTATAACTCATTTTTGGTATACCACTGTTGTGCCTTTGCTACTTTTTTGATACCTTGTTGATGTCATTTTGTAGGCCCTTATTGCCAATAGATTGCCACCCATTTGGGATATGGTGATTCACCATCTGCCTTTATGGCTCATTTAGGCTTTGAAGTACAATATGATCTCTATTGACATGACTCAGTTATTGCATAGGCCTCATTTGCCGATGTGTCATCTCAATTTGGGATGTGCGAGACTTACTCTCTGCCTTTGTGGCTTAACATGAGTTCTGAAAGCATTGAGATGCTCCTATTTGAGATAACCATCCTTTTGACTCCCCCTTTTACTAGTTACCACATAATATAAGCAAGACTTCCATTATCGAGAGTTTTTTTGGGTATCCCCAAAATGTAATTAACCAAAGTGACGAGTTTATTTGGGAGTTGCCCTTGACCCCAGAACAAAATATATAATTTTGGTTCTCTAGTATATGGGTTGCTTGTGTTGGGGACTTCTTTGTGGATATGGTTTTCAAGGTGTCTTGATTCGATCTTGTCTGTACATACACTCTTGGCTTATCGCACGAAGACAATCTCACACAAGCTCTCCATATCTCTTTTTACTTAAATTTGTTTGTCAAAATTTTCATCTTATTTCCATAATCTCCAATCTCTTCTATTCTCTAAATCATTTCGACGATTTAAGAAAGAGGGCTATTTGGAAAAGTGAATTATAAGACGATAATTAGATAAACCGACGTCTCCGTGTTAAAAAGAACAAAAAACACGTCCATCTATAGAAAAATTTTATAGTTATCATTAGTACAATTCCTAGGGCTTCTGCAAAATTTTCTTCCATAATTGTCACCTTTTTTGGAAGAGTATAAAAAACATTATAGGTTACACCTACAGATCATCAGGGAATCCTGAATAGATATTATCGATGACCTATGACTTGAATTGATGTTTTTATAGGGTACCACAACTACTAAACAATAAAAAAACAAAGGTGAAGATTATAAAAAAATGAAGATAATGTCTTTAACATAATTATAGAACACTATATAAGAAAAAGAAATGTTACAAATTGGACTTATCATTAAACAAAAAGTGCATATTATACAATTAAGAAAATTGTACTCAAGACCTATCCTTGACAAAATGGGTCCAGCTAAATCCATCAAATTTATCCAAAAAAAGTATCACAAATATGATCATGATAAATATCAAACGTAGTATGAAGGTTATATAATGCTTCATGATACCAAATAAATGTAATAGCAATATACAATTGGTTGACTCATGCTTATGATAAGAATTCCTCATCATAGCTCCAACATAAAACTTAAATTCGATTTACATATATACCACAACAATTATCATCATTCCTGTATTTAACAACTAGAGTTTTTATATTACGATAGTACCACCCAAAGCATAAAAAATGGGTTAATAGTGAGATTTAGGGTTGTAAACGAGTCACTCAGGCTTGGCTCGTGTTAGGCTCGTTCGAAATAGCTCGTGTTCGAAATCGGCTCGTGAACATTGTGTTCGTGTTCGACTCGATTTAACTTATCGGCTCGTGTTCGGCTCGAAACTGACTCGTTAAACTAAAATTAAGAAAAATAGATGTAAAGTGTGGAATTCGAACCTGGGTCAAACCTATACAAAAGAAGACACTAACCACATTGTCACATGAGATGTTATGATTTAAACGTAGACATAAATATATATAATATATTATTATATAAATAATATATGTAATATATTGTTATATAAGAAGTTATATAAATTTTTTTTCGAGTCATTTCGAGCCGAACACGAGCGAACAATTGTTCGTGTTCGGCTCGTTAGGCTTAACGAACGAGCCGAACACGAGCTGCTTAACGAGCCGAACACGAGCTGTTCACGAACAACGAGCCAAATTGACAGCCCTAGTTAATAAGTATAACTACCACATTAAAATCTCATCACAATGGAAAATACATGCCAGTTGCTCCCTATCATTTTCGCAAACAACTAGTTGCTTCAACCAATATATACATTTTTCAAGACTGTCAAGACGGTGGCATGCATAAATATATCCACCTCTCTATCAACCAAAATCACCATAACATTATACTTCATCATTCCAAAGACTTGAAAAGAAACAAGAAGTAAGAGTGGTAAGCCAGATTTCGTATCAAATCAATGCCAAGAACATAACCACTAACTAAGTGCAAAGTGTAGCATCAAATTTTAAGAATAAATCATGAAAATCACATAGTAATGGGAAACTACATGCTAGTTTTTTGCCTTTCCAACAAAACTGAATCCCAAACATCTAGCAACTTCAACCAAAACCGAATTACAAACACACAATGAAAACTAAATACCTCTTGCTTTATATTCCATCATTCCAGAGACTTAAAAAGAAAAAAAAGAAGAACAGTGAGCCACGCGTCGTGTCAAGTCAGTGCCAACAACATAGCTGCTAACCAAATTTAGTATAACATGTTTTTAAGGAAACAAAAAAAAAAAATTAAGAATATTAAAGTAAATGTTGCAGGATATCTGTGCCTACAATTGACCGACCAACCAAGTTTAGTTGCATGTGTATTAAGAGCAGCAAAAAAAAAATTGTTTAAGAGCATTAAACCAAGTGTTGCATCACTTCTCTGCCAACAAGTGACCACCAACTAAGTGAAATATCATATGTGTAGTAAGAACAGTAAAACAATAAATATAACATGCAATTGAAAAAATAGAATGCACAAGACATATACAAATCAACTAAAATCAAACAGAGAAAGTAAAGCTTTCCTAACTAAAATTCTGAAAGTTTCAATCACATGTCTTTAAACAAAAACTATTAATGTAACCTTAGAGAGCATTGTACTCCAACAAAACTTTCAAATCCAAGCAACTCCAATAACCTATATCAAAGTTGTTCATTTCCACCATGTAAATCACATCAAAAGAAAAAAAAAATACAATTTCCAAACAAATAAGAGAGGTATGTGCTGCATTTCCACCAAATCCGCCAACAAGTAACTATCGACTTCAACCATAATATACAAATGTAAAACTACAAGAAGGTGGACTACAGAAATACAACCACCTTTCTATCTACCAAAAAGTCTGTAGGATTTAATTCCCTCAAAATGAACGACAAAATTGCTTATAAAATGTTGAAGTTAGGGATTATGAGAAGCATACCTACAATCATAGGAGAGAAAATGTCTAGTGACGTGTAAAGCAAGGAAGAGTCTAATGGCCTGTAGGAAAGGAGGGAAAACTACGAGGAACGTGAGGTGTGAGAGGATGACGTGACTTGCGTTGGCCAAATGGTATCAACCGGAAAATGACATATGTATGAGCATGCCAAAGGATTAGGCAAGTGCTAGAGCATTAAATGAAGGGAAGATGCCTGATCCTACACTATTCAAAGAAGAGAAAAATCTATTAAGGTTACAGGAGGAAGGAAGTGAACACGTGAAGGAGATGACGACATTGACAGAATAAGGTACGGCGTTGTATTTGCATGCATTTTGAGTTGTTGGGTGGCATTGTCATATTGTTTTTTGGTGTTAAATATGTAATATAAAATCCCCTTCTATTCTTTATTGATATATCAAACAAGAAGAATTTAGCATTAATAAAAATTAAAAAAATTCAAATTTATTAAATAATTAAATCCGAATTTAGCAAGAATCGAATATAAAATTCAGATCTTAAATTTGAAATTTTATAAATCTTAAAAAAATTGTGCATTTTTATATTTATTAAAATTCAACTAATAAATTTAATAGAGCACCACGAAACACCCTCTCAAGGATGATATTATTTCTAAACGTCAAACTGCGCAAACAATCGGTTTGCTGGCAGTACTCGCTGAAATTCCATCCCACGTGAGGTCTCCGGTTCATGAGCCACCGTCCATCTCCCGGAACAGCCGCTGCCACGGTTCCCAACCTCGCTGGTCACCTGCGGCGTTCATCAAAACCACAATTTCGAGCTTTGTCGATTTTGATTTTCAGTCTGATATCAATAGTTTAGCAAACTCCGATCCCCATAAGAAAAGTAAATTTAATTGAAACCCTAGCTCCATCGAGCAGTTTTGAAGAGATTGGGAGCGCTGGGGGCAGATCAGTCTCGTCAGGGCCCGTTTGCGGCGAACCTGGGTTTATGGTTCTTCCCCTTCATTCGTAACCCTAATGCTCGCCGAACCGGATACCTAGGCCAGCTGCCTCCCATGGATTTCGTCAGTCGCCACGCAACGTCCGACGCCGACCAGAATCATGCCTCTACATCGACTGTGGAGCCGACGAATTCTGTGGCTCCAAATTCCTCTAACCGTTCTGCTTCCGCTGCTGCCGGCCCTGCAGTTCCTGAGGAGCCAGAATACCTGTCTCGCTACATGGTTGTCAAACACTCGTGGCGTGGTCGGTATAAGCGTATTCTTTGCATCTCGGAGTCTGCGATCATTACGCTAGACCCTTCGACGCTTGCGGTAACGAATTCGTTTGACGTGTCCAACGACTTTGAGGGGGCTGCTCCTGTGCTGGGCAGGGGCGACGATGGCGACGGCGGCGCGCAAGTGTTCACTGTGAGTGTGAGGACGGACGGACGCGGAAAATTCAAGGCGATCAAGTTATCTTCGAGGTATAGGGCGAGAATCCTTACGGAGATGCACTTGCTCAGGTCGGGCAAACTCGGGCAAATCACTGAATTCCAGGTGCTTCATCTGCGGCGGAGGACCTCGCATTGGGTTCCATATGTAAGTTGACTTTTTTTTTATTTTGTTGTTCTAAATTGCTTAGTTCTCTCTAACTATAACCAGCTATAGCTTGGCCTTATGAGGACCAGTATCTTTTAGCTAAATGCTTTGACATTGTTCTTTGAGTAACTGAACTTGTAGCCATGATTTGTTTTGCTGATGGAAGTTATTGGCCATGCAAGTTTTGTTCTTCCAGATTTAAAAATCATTATTTCAAGTGTGAGAGTACCTACATTAGTCACCATTTTATCTGAATACCAAACTCTAGAAGTTCAGTTTCAACCGTTGGACTTGCATTTTTTTCGTTTTTTGTAAAGTCTAAGAATGCCTACATATTCCAGATTTAAAAATCATTATTTCAAGTGTGAGAGTACCTACTTTAGTCACCATTTTATCTGAATACCAAACTCTAGAAGTTCAGTTTCAACCGTTGGACTTGCATTTTTTTCGTTTTTTGTAAAGTCTAAGAATGCCTACATATTCCAGATTTAAAAATCATTATTTCAAGTGTGAGAGTACCTACATTAGTCACCATTTTATCTGAATACCAAACTCTAGAAGTTCAGTTTCAACCGTTGGACTTGCATTTTTTTCATTTTTTTTTCAAGTCTAAGAATGCCTACATATATCACCACCTAATTTGCTTAGGAAGCTCTGTCAATTCAATTCCAGTGGATATATGAAGGCAGGACATTTTGCTGGTAAACTAAATTTGAGTGGAAAACTGTTAATTCATGTTTACATATGCTGTTAGTTTTAATGGCATGGTATCCCACCCTATGCTCAAGCCAGCCATCTTTCTTCATCAATATGAATCCATTCATATGACTCCACCCTATGCTCAAGCCAGCCGTCCTTATGATTTTATAGGTGCTACGATCTGCTTCATATCTGGCATTCACTTTTTGTATTTTAAATTCTGCAAAATATTCTCATGCCAAAATATTCTCATGCCTTTATGCAAATTAGATAAGTTCAAATTTTTAGTTTTTCCTCAGTCTATCACAGTACCACATAAGGTTGAAGCCTGCAGTGTTTCCGCGATCTGTGTTTTCCTTTAGCGCTTATCAGTTTACCTGTTGCATTTTTTTTCTTTTTTATTAAAAAGTTTCATGACATATTTATTCCTCTTAGAAACTGAAAGTTACAGCTGTGGGAGTTGAACTAGTAGAAACACAGTCTGGAGTTATAAGGTGGTGCTTGGACTTCAGAGACATGGATACACCTGCTATTGTAGTTTTGACAGATAAATATGGAAAGAGAAGTACTGAACCTGAAGGGTTTTTACTTTGCCCCTTATATGGAAGAAAGAGTAAAGCTTTTGCCGCTGCCTCTGGTAGCGCCAGCTCCACAATTATTTCATATATTGTATGTTTGCTTTCCCCTTTTTAAAAGCTTTTGTTGATTTAGAACTTATTATTACTATAGAAGTTTTGTTTGCTTCATATGTACACTTAAGAGCAAGTTTTGTAAAACTAGACTGGAGATTGAGCTGGAAGAATGAAAAATTTCAATGTTAAAAGGCTCAACCATGGCATAATTACTTGCAAGGTATAAAATTTCTAATAAAGATGCAATTAAGAGCTTGAAAAATATTTCAGGACATATAAATCATTTCCATGAAAAAAGATAAATAAATTTATGCTGTGAACTTATTTCCAGCGGATTTTCTCTGTTTTAATTTTTGATCAATCAACTTATATACCACGACGTTTTGGTTAGCTTAAAAAGCTTAAAAATCATCAATTACTACAATATATCATAGTATTAACCTTTTCTTTTTTTGTCAAACAACAATTGAGCCTAGGGGATTAATCTATTTATGGATTAATGAACACCTCATGATTAGAGATTTTTAAAATTTTTTTGAAATATTTTGAATCATTTAAAGTTTAAACAAGCTCTTGTTTTTATAAAATCCGTATTGGTTAAATGATCTTACGAAGCATTGGTTTTTCTATTGCTGTTTTTTTTTTTTAATTTTCTTCGGTAATCCAGTTCTAACTGTTGGTTGCGACTAGCCATATGACTGATTTGCGGTACAACCTGTCCAACTGGCATATTTGGTTTGGTTTTTAACATATGATTAGCTTCATTCTTGTGCAGACTAAAGCTGCAAGATCTTCGGTTGGTTTGTTATTATCCGTTGACACTTCTCAATCACTGACCATACCAGATTTTATTAAACAAAGGGGTAAGTTTATGAATGCGAGCATTCTTTCTTTTCCTCTTTCATGCTTTGCTAGATTTTATTATACAAAGGGGTAAGTTTATGAATGCGAACATTATGACAAACATTATTTCTTTTTCTTTTTCAAGCTTTGTTAGATTTCAAAGATAAGATCGATGTATATGCTCTCTATTATTTCTTGCATGTTAGTCTAGTTGTTAGTCATACATGTTTTATCTTTTATGAGATCAAATTCTTCAGCGCTCTTTATGAATATCGGAGTAAGGAAACAGTCCTTTTTTGTTTCTCTAAGCAGAAGGCCAATGTATATTTGTGATGGTGAAATGAAATTTTCAGATTGTCAATCAGGTTTATGACGTCTTTGTTAATAATCTTTTGATGTTAGGTAATATTAACTTATTTAATATTCTTGCATGATGAACAGTATTTATAATTTTTACTTTACCGTTGGGAAAAATATTTCAATTGACAACCTCAATGGTGCTTTAATCATTTAAAACGTATGTTATTGCAACATGTTCCTATTGATCTTAAGTAAAAGTTTCATTAAGTTTGTACTCTTGAGCTATTCCCCATTTCCATTGAATTTTTCCATATAAAAGAATGTCACTCACTTATATTATTATTGTAAATGCTATGCATTTTTCAGTCATTTAGTTATATCCTCAGTAAAAGTTTATGATTAAATAAATTCTTCCTAAATTTCCATATTTTGTTAATGCTGGTTAGCACCCACATATTGAAGATGATTATTGCATTGAGAAACTTAATTTTATTAGGGCTTTTTTGGCATCAATTGTGTTTCCTGTTTTTGTTTTTATTTTTTATTTTGTTTTCGAAAATAAGTTTTATTGATATAATTTTTATATGTTTTTATATTTTGTTTTAAAAAAACAATTGAAGTTGTTTTTAAAAATACTCGGAAACATTCTCAATCAAATATGTTTTAATTTAAATAAATAAAGCTAAATAAAAATAAAAAATTAAAGTTATTCTAAACAGCCTCTTAATATATCTCATCAATGTTGGCCATGCCTTCAACTTTCTCGAAATCATTTCTTTATTTGAGCTGGTCATGCCCTCAATTGAATTAGGCTCTTTGATCCAGTGTAAGTGAGTTTTGGTCACGTTATGTTAAATTTTTATGTTTCTAGCATTTTAAAGCTAATATCTTCAATAGTTCATTTTTTTTTGCAGCCAAGCAAGCGGTTGGAGGAGATCAAACCCCTCTTGGGGAATGGTCTGTTACGAGATTGCGGTCTGGTGCACATGGTACAGCTAATGTCATGGGCTTAAGTATTGGTGTTGGACCTAAGGGTGGACTTGGTCAACAAGGGGATTCGGTGTCTCGACAACTTGTGCTTACAAAGACTTCATTGATTGAAAGGCGCCCTGATAATTATGAGGTATCCCTTACTATAATGCTTTAATGTCTGATTTGTACATGTGTTCATCAACATAATTGTTTTAATTTATACTTCATTTTTTTCAAGCCAATGCTCTTTATTGACCTAAAATTCTTCCCACTGGTGTGAATTTGTATTTTGCAACTAAAAAATTAGTTTCTTTTAACTTGCGTAGCTTAGCTGATTGCCAAAAGGCAATGGTTTGTTAGCTTGGATTTTTGCTGGGTTTTCTATTTTTTTAAAATGTCATTAATATTTTGTAACACCAAATGTGTTAAGTGTTAGACATTTATAGGTTGAAAATATGTTTTTTTTAATGCATGCTTCATTTCGAGGCCCTTTTGGTTTCTTTCTTTTTCTAGGTATATGGGCTTATGCTTTTTGATGCTAGGAGATATTAGTCTTTACACATTTATTTGTTTCTAGATGTAAGTGGAATGCCCATCTTTATTTCACATTCAGTCTGTTGATTAGTTGGTGCCAACTGTATTGAATTTTGTTGGTATTAATTTTACGTGAATAACTCTTTTTGGCATTACTAAAGCTCCCTGGTTATTACTTACATGGGAACATTTTGACAGCCTATTCTTGCACACTTGGCTTTGATTCATTTCCATGTTCGATGCTACTAATGAAATGTTGTCATGATATGCAGGCTGTTATTATTCGATCACTTTCTACAGTTACTTCTCTTGTAAGGTTTGCTGAAGAACCACAGATGTTTGCTGTGGAATTTAGCGATGGTTGCCCTATTCATGTATGACTTATTTGACCCCTTTGTTGTTTTCTCTTGCCCTAAGATATCTTCTAACTCTTCTTGTTTCTTCATTTCAGGTTTATGCGAGCACATCGCGTGATAGTTTACTTGCAGCTATACGTGATGTTCTTCAGACTGAGGTGGGAATTTTTAAGTCCCTTAAAATGCTTATTCTTGAAATGTCTTATTCCTTCATGTCTTCTTCCTACTTGAAATGTCTTATTTATCAACGTCTTTCCCCTTTTTGCCTTTCATAGGGACAATACCCTGTTCCTTTGTTGCCAAGATTGACCATGCCTGGTCACCGATTAGATCCTCCTTGTGGAAGGGTATATTTGCAGACACAACTTCTTGTTTCACAGCGCCCTGTTGCTGATATAGAAAGTGCTGCTATGCATTTAAAGCACCTTGCTGCTGCTGCCAAGGATGCTGTAGCTGAAGGAGGTTCAGTTCCTGGCTCGAGAGCAAAGTTGTGGCGTCGAATAAGGGAATTCAATGCATGCATAGCCTACAGTGGTATTCCTCACAGTGTTGAGGTGCCTGAGGTAGTTCTTATGGCTTTGATCACAATGCTTCCAGCAACTCCTAATCTCCCTGCAGGGGCTCCACCCCCTCCACCTCCATCGCCAAAAGCAGCTGCTACTGTGATGGGCTTCATCGCATGCCTGCGTAGATTACTTGCTTCAAGAAATGCTGCATCTCATGTAATGTCATTTCCTGCTGCTGTAGGGAGAATAATGGGATTACTCAGAAATGGATCTGAGGGGGTAGCAGCCGAGGCTGCAGGGCTTATTTCTATGCTTATCGGTGGTGGTCCTGGTGATCCTAGTTTAGTAATGGACTCAAAGGGGGAACGACATGCCACTTTAATGCATGCTAAATCAGTGTTATTTGCAAATCAACATTATGTTATCATCCTTGTCAATAGGTTGAAACCAACCTCTGTCTCACCTTTGCTTTCAATGGCGGTTGTTGAAGTTCTTGAAGCCTTGCTTTGTGAACCTCATGGTGAAACAACACAACATACTACTTTTGTGGAGTTATTGAGGCAAGTTGCTGCATTGACTTATTCTCACTGTTTGGGCGTCCTGCTGTAAGTGTTAGGGAAACGGTTGCTGTTATCATGCGTACGATTGCAGAGGAAGATGCTATCGCTGCCGAGTCTATGCGAGATGCTGCTTTGAGAGACGGTGCTCTCCTTAGACACCTGCTTCATGCGTTTTTCCATCCAGCTGGTGAGAGACGTGATGTTAGTAGACAACTTGTAGCTTTGTGGGCTGATTCATATCAACCTGCTTTAGATTTACTGTCAAGAGTTCTTCCTCCTGGGCTTGTTGCATATTTACATACACGTTTTGATGAATCCTCTGAGGATTTACAGAATGATGATGCTCCTTTGACCAAGAAGAGGCAAAGGGGCATACTGCAACAAAGAAAGGGTCGTTTTATGAGGGGTGTAACTTATCGTGAAAATGATTTATTTCCTAGTAATGGCGAAAATGGAGATTTGGTTAAACAGATGGGGATCGGCACCTTTGAGGGGACTCAGAATTATGAAAGACATACCCAAGAGTCCATTTCTATTCAGTTTCCAACATACACTTCAGTTCCTGGTGGTAACATGGCAAGTGAATATTCTTATGCTGCAACCCCACAAAATGCTAATATGGCCACTGCTTCTGCTGACAAGTTCCTTCAAAATACGCAGTTATTAAATCCAAATCCACTTTTAACTGATTCTGAGGCCAATCGAGTTGACTCCTTAAATTCTGAACTACCTGCTCCTGCTCAAGTTGTTGTTGAGAGCACTCCTGTAGGGTCTGGTAGGTTACTGTGTAACTGGTTTGAGTTTTGGAGGGCATTTGGTTTAGATCACAACCGTGCAGACTTAATATGGAATGAACGCACCAGACAGGAACTAAGAGAAGCTTTACAACTTGAAGTTCACAAATTAGATGTTGAGAAGGAGCGAACTGAAGACATTGTGCCGGGAACTGCTGTGACAAAAAGTGACGCAGAACTTGAAAGTTTACCTAACATATCATGGAATTATGCTGAGTTTTCAGTTAGTTACGCCAGTTTGTCAAAAGAGGTCTGCGTGGGCCAATATTATCTCAGGTTATTACTTGAAAGCAACAGTTGTTGTCAGGCACAGGATTTTCCTTTACGTGATCCAGTTGCTTTTTTTAGAGCATTGCATCATCGTTTCTTGTGTGATGCAGACATTGGGCTTACTGTGGATGGTGCTATTCCTGATGAATTAGGTTCCTCGGATGACTGGTGTGATATGGGTAGATTAGATGGTTTTGGTGGAGGAGGTGGTTCCTCAGTCCGGGAACTATGTGCAAGGGCAATGGCTATTGTTTATGAGCAGCACCATAATGTCATTGGCCCTTTTGATGGTACAGCACATATTACAGTTTTGCTGGATAGAACAGATGATCGTGTATTGAGGCATCGCCTACTTCTTTTATTAAAGGTGGATCTTTGAAAGCATATTTCAAATAATTTATATATATAAATATTTGTTTAATATTTACTTTCTTCTGTGGGAATTTGCTTTGCCTAAGTTGTTCAAAGGATTCTCTAGTAGATTTATGAGATATGTTTGTTGGTAGCTTGTTTTTGCTAACTTCATAGGCCTGTTTAGATGCATCTTATTCTGGAATTTTGATCTTTATTTTCAATACCTAAACAATATTTGCCAGATGCACGATACTAAAGTTGATGGACCGAGCTTACTCAAAATTTTAAAATTTTTCTGGGTTATTTTATACTTTATTGAACTTGATTTTCAGGATTAAAATTTTCTGAAGGGCGTGATAGAGCTAATGAAGATGTTTTATATATGATGGATGGTTTATCAATGACATATTATGTTCCTTTCCCTCTTTTGTGTGTATATTGGTTTTTACTTGGTGGCCACTTAAATAGATACAATTGGTACTTTTTTATACTAATTTGAGCTTGAATGGTACTGTTTGGGCACATTGCAAAGCCGCATAAACTTCTGTCTGGGATATTAAAACCAGGCTCTAATATCTTTTCCAGTAGTTTGGTGCCATGTGTTGTTTATTTTTATTTTATGTTATTTATTTCGGATCCAATGGCATAAAATGTGAATGAGTATTGGCGTTTCAATTATTTAAGGTTTACTTAGTTTTTTAGTAGCACATTAACAAACATTGCTGTTCATTTGTTTGTTGACCTTAGTTAAAGAGTATCATCCTATTAATCTTTGGAAAAGCTCCTGATCATTTTGGGTATTATTTCATATAAATGCATCAAAGTTGGTTTTTTTCCTCTTTTTTTTTTAAGCGTCATCCTTTAACTCATCATTTCTTAACCAGTTCAGTGTTGTTGATTACTTAATAGCATTATTTCTTATGATGATTTGGCCATTATTAATTTAAGCAACTGTCAGTTCATTAGCATAATCTAAAATGATATAGGTAAGGTCTTTCCGTAGCTAAATGCCTGTAGCATTTTATTTTTAGACTTTATAAGTATCGTTTGTTTGCTGTATTAAACATGCTTAACTCGATTATTGTCCCACTTTAATTACTGCCTCTCTTTATCTTCTGTATCTGACAGCTGGTATCCTGTTCTTGTTATGTGGTAGTGCAGGCCTTAATGAAAGTTCTTCCTAATGTTGAAGCTTGTGTTTTAGTTGGAGGGTGTGTCTTAGCTGTTGATCTTTTGACTGTTGCCCATGAAGCATCTGAAAGAACTTCCATACCTCTGCAGTCTAATTTGATTGCAGCAACAGCTTTCATGGAACCATTAAAGGAATGGATGTACATGAACAAGGATGGTGCAGAAATTGGACCTCTGGAGAAAGATGCAATTAGAAGGCTTTGGTCGAAGAAAGCCATTGATTGGACAACTCGATTTTGGTCTTCTGGTATGCTTGACTGGAAGAAATTGCGCGACATTCGTGAATTACGTTGGGCACTAGCTCTCCGTGTTCCTGTTTTAACTCATGTTCAGGTAGTTCACTACTATCAAATTTTGATCAGCAATGTGGTTATATTTGCCATACATTATGCCACAACAGTAATTGAACATAAATATCAGCCCCTATTATTTGGAAGTTTTTTTAATTTTCTAGCACACTTCCTTGATGCTGAAGTGTTTAGTTTTTTTAAAATTATGCGCCTCATTACTTTCATATATTTTTTTTCCCCTTCCAAAATAACAGTTTTTTATTTGAAATCTATTTTCGTTGTTTAGGTAAACTGACAATGTTGATTAAGCAAAGTGCATGATAGGTTGGGTTTGTGGAGGGATTTTTGACCTTACTCTTCCATTAGAAAAGAGTTTGCCATTTTTATTCAAATTTTTGCCCTCCAAGTCACATTGTGGGGAAATTAACTGTTGCACCATGCTCGCTTTCTTCGCCTGAAGATTGATGATTATATAATCCATACATTTCCATTGTTAATCTTTGTACATTCGTCCTTTCTAGCCATAAAATATTACACACCAAATTTTCTTATGGTGTAGAACAGATTATTGAATTAAGTACTTCAGCTTATTCCATCAATCATCTTTCAGTGCTTGTTTGAAAGTTTGTAATTGTGCTTTATCTTGGTAAATTAGATTTTTAATTTCAAGAAGTTCAGAGAATATGAAGCATACTGCATGGCACAGTTGTCTTTCATTTTGTATGCGCTGAAGTTTGATCTTAGTTATGGAGATGAGAAGCTTCACTTTTTTGTTCCATGATGCATACCCACACTTTATATTTCTTACAGGAGTTTATAAATCACAATATCTATGTTATTATGATCTTTCAAATTGTTCATGAACATCTTGATTTCTGGATGCAAATAGAGCAAACATTCACTTTATGAAGATTTTTAGCTTGATCACATGAATGCAATCTTAGTTAACTCTATTTGATGGTGTTTTGAAGTAAAATCAGGCATCTTAATTTTCTCTTTTTTTATTTTTATGCTTTTTACTGCTGTTGTTTCATATATTTTTTATGCTCGTAGTTTTTTTTCATTGAGTAGAACCGATCATATTTTTGGTTGCATATCTTTAAAGCAGATTTAGATTTTTGATCGCTATTGGAGTAACCACTAATTGAAATGGTCTTTTGCACCTTAATATATTTTTTTTCAGTGTCAGACTCAACCTTTCCTCTTTTATTTGTAGTTCATATGTACATTTGTGTGATACTTGGCCAATTTGTCTTGATTTTCCTCCCACATTGCTTTAGTATGGAGCTAATCAAACATTTTGCATATAGGTGGGGGAGATTGCATTATCGATATTGCATAGCATGGTGTCTGCACATTCTGATCTAGATGATGCTGGAGAGATAGTGACCCCAACACCCAGAGTTAAGCGTATTCTATCAAGTCCTCGATGCCTTCCACATGTTACGCAGGTGATTTTTGACTTTCCAGATTGACTATGTAGTTGATGCATTATATATGATATAAAAAATTATGAGGAATGCATGCTTCATAAATTGCATATTTTTTACTTGAATTAAATTGGTCATGCATGCGTAAATTATGTATTTATTAGTTACTCGGACTCTATATTCCATTCTTTAATTCACAATTATGGTTTCTTTTTTAAATCTTGCTTCATATTCTTACATATGCAAAAGTTAAAGGGGTAATTACAAAAAAGGCCAATTCTGGCTTTTTAGAAGCTATTAAACTTTTGAGGTTTTATTTTCTCATTATACGTTAATGATTCAGTCAAAGCGCGTTCCTTCTTCCTTAAATGTAATACTTGGTTCCATATTATTTTTTTTTTTTTACCTATTTCTGTGCATATAATATGACTCATTAGAGATTCAGTGCAAACGTGATACTTGTGCTGCCAATATGCAATAATGCTAGACATCCATTGCATCTCTTTAAAAAAGCTGATAGAAGGTATCTTCTAGAAGAGAAAAGTGCTATTATTAAATCTGCATGACATTCTTCTGTTATCACATACAATACTTCAAAATGTTATTGCCTTGCTTTTAACAAGGTTGTCAAAGTGAAGGTCTTGCGTGGGAAGATTATTAAAGTAACTTGCACCTAATAATAATTAATTTTTTGCTGGTTTTTGGTTGTCCTCCTAGATTCTCTAAAAGTTAAATGCTATGAAATATGTTGGCGGATATAAATTTTTTTTATTATGGATTACAGAACTATTATATGTGAGGATATAAATTGAAATATTTTAAGCAACCAAAACTTAGTCTATAATTGAGCATCCATGAAGCGGTATTTTTGTGCTTCAAAAACGATCATGAAATATAGACACGTTTGATGGTTGCTTTTAGAATAGGAAAGCTAATGCATATTTATTGCAAAAGTTACTGGAGTGGTATATAAGAATAGACAATCAAGATGATATAAAAGAAATAAAGGTGGCATCTTTATGCAAGAGTGCAGGAGCAACAATTGGAAGCTGGGAAGGATTACTGTAAAAAGATGTGATGCACTACCATGGACATGTATTCAACATGGCTTAATATAGGAAATGACCAATTTTAAAATTAGGGCACTAGAAAGGTTTGGTATGATATTAAAAGATACAAATTGTAGGACCATATAACCAATAACTTTTATCATAATTTTATAGACTTCTAAATTAAACATATACAAAAATAATAATTTGTTGAATGCTATTGTCACCGTACGAACAACAACAAATACTGTATTACAGAAATCTACAATGCTAGGGAACATCAAGAACTAAGCAAGGCTACTAGACTAACCCTTAAAGGAAACAGATATTGTTAATGAGTATTTTTTGTAATAATGCTGTCCACATTTTGGGTTCTGATGTTTAATTCACTTCGCTTGAGCAACTCCATCTAAATCCTTTTGGTCAATAATAATCCCTACTAAAATTGATTATTTCGGGCCTCTTATTCATCCCCAATGGACTTGGTCAGATCCCAAAATCAACGCTATCTGCACCTCTGTTTTAGCTAATTCTACTTCTTCACTTCCAAATTCCAACATGAGGCCTCAGAACAGGAAAGCTGCTGGCGATTTAAGATTGTTGCTGATCTATTTGCCTAGCTGGAATGAAAGTTCATCCGGGAACCTGCAAAGAAAGTTAGAATTGATTAGTAGATTAATTGTTCTAGAATCCTACTAAATAACTGGAAAGAGCAAATGAAAACTGAGAACCTAGTTTAAAAACTTTTTGATTCAAGATAACGATGGAATTCCTAAGTTCAAAGGTGATCTTAAGATGTTTTCCTGATTAATACTGCTGCATGGCAAGAACAGCAAGGGTGTACTACACCAAAGTGATTCCTTATTTCCTCGTACCCTTTTCTATCTAGCCACTACCGCCTGAATCTTCTCAAAAACATGAATTCTGTTGCAGCCCATCTTGGAAACCTACCACAACCAGATATAAAGTCTGGGTTGCTGGCTTTTCTGAAACAAATTGGTATTTTCAAAACTTTCGCTCAAATACACCAAAACTTTATTAGCCTGTTAAGAATACCCCGAGCTACACAAGAACAACATTCACCCCTTTTCAGTTCCTACAGAGGCGTTCATTTATAGGCCTTTTTTTCGTAGGAATTTTTCTTCCTTTAGCCTTTGGAAAATTGCTAGAGATGGAGTTCTGGGATTGATTGTAGTGGTCTCAGATTTCATTATGATCACCATCCTTCTCTACTTACCTTAGAACATGGAATCCCCTCTCTTATTCAGGAAAACTTGAAAATTAAACTCTTCAAAATGGTTTTTTTTTCTGAAGGGGCAGTTTATTATAGGCTAGCTTCTCCTCTTAATCTCTAGACCCCATTTGTTACTAGACTACCCTTGTGAAGGAAGGACATGAAAGAAAAGTTAGGGTGCGCTTATTTCAGCTGTGGCTGTATGAAATCTCAGTTCAAAAATTGTTGTGGAAATCTGCTATTTAAAAGTTTGCTTCAGAAACAATTAGTATGTTTGAAAATTCAGTTTTGAAAGTGATGTTTGTGGATAAATGCTTGAAATACCACCATGTTATTTTATTTTATCTAAAATTTTAAAATAAATATAATTTTTTTTAATAAGATCAAAAACGAAAAAATCCCTCATATTTTTTTAATTATTAGAAGTTATACATGCTTTAATTAGCCCTTGAAATATATATATATATATATATATATATATATATATATATACTTGTCCGAACCCAGCTTAATATAAAACCAATTTAATTCTTCATATTAAATAGGGGAAGTCAGCAAATAAAATAGTTTCGCAGACCAAACAAATGTCATATATTTTTTAGTTTATTTTATCAAGCCTCATCTTCAAGTCTTGTGTTTATCCTTTAGGATAGATACAGGGTTTGAAGTATATTGCTCTTTCTTTTAAACTATGAAAAATATGGTGTCAGTTTGATTTTATATTTTTCTAAACTTATATATCTATATATATATATATATATATATATATATATTAAAATGTCCTTTCATGTATAAAAATTGATAATATAAAACTATAATATATATGTTCAAAAGTTGTTTTATATACCAGTGCAATTCAAAAGTTGCTTTATATAAAAGCTATAATATTATAAAAACTTCATGTGTAAAGTATGATTTTGGCGCCAAGAAAAAACCCTGCTGTTATATAGTAAATATAACATGATTTTCCCGCCAAAAATCACGCCAGTGAGGGTAAAACAGGGAATTCAATGTGGGAAGCAGGACTTCACTGCGGGAAGTTGCCTGCTGATTGCGTTTGCAAAGGAGAAGAACCTTGGGCCACAGGTTTGTAACGCGGTGCTTGCAAAACGCGAATCAAACACCCTATTCGAGAACTCGGTTCCAAAAGAAGGATGAAAAGTTGAAACAAATGCGCCCTTAGTCTCTATAAAAAATAAAATATTACATGAACTGCCCTTTTCCGAACTATGTTGGCTACCAAACACTTCCATAATGGAAAGGACTAGTGCTATCAAACCCTTCATTGATAAAATGAATTTATGCAATTTATCTTCTTTCGCATCTGGGATCACTGCTTGATTGATCCCAACACTTTTATGGCAGGTTGGGTTGACTGGTAGCAGTCTTCCCTGTATTGATATAATTACATGCTTGTGCAATGAATCAATATGCGGCCCTCATGTCTCCTATAGCTTTTCTCTTTTCAGCTCCCAATTTGCTTATGTTTGGACTTTGGAAGGCTTTTGAATTGGGGCTATATCAATGCTGATTTCTAGGGATTCCTTCCCGTGTATTTAGTAATTTTTAAACTCAAAAACTTATTGTAATATTCATATTTTCTTTCTTGTTAGGGTGAGCTAATTTTTTTTTTAATTTTCACCTTTTTAATCCTCTTTTTCTAGGACCAATTTCTATCAAATAATAAAACACAAATTTTAATAAATTGATAGAGGGAAAAAGAGATAAATACTAGAAGGTATTTTGATTATGCATATTGGCATAGAATTGAGTTATGAGTCAGGTATACAATGTTAATTGCTATAGAGGAAAACTTAGAGGAAAACTGGAAGTAATATTTATTCAGTTTACTATCGAGTTTAAAGGCATTTTTTGTGCTTAATAGTATAGCTCTTTTGATTGAAATACTTAGAAAGTGTTTAAAACGTGTTCTGAAGGAATTCCCATGTAATGGATTTTTCTTAAGAGGTTTTAAGTGTCCATACCCAATTACCATTTTTTTATAAGTGAAAGGTTTATGAGAAAGTAGAATCAACATTCATATAGAAATGCTGGAGGAGAATGATTTGTGAACCCAATCATATATACAGTTTGGACAAGGGTGAAGGTAAGGATGAATATGCTATCTCCTGAACTTGCTATGCTTATTATTTTTATCTTTGACTTGTTCACTATGATTTATTTTATTTCTGTTGGTATCTCATTAATGCACTGTTGTTTGCCCAATCTTGAAAGATAATTAAAATGGAATTGTGGTTGCTTGCTATGTTATCTTTGGAATATTACTTGAGCTTTCGAAAAGGTGTTGGTGGACCAGGGAGTTTGGGCTGTGGCATTCCCCCCAGCCCAGCTCGCCCACATAAACCGCATGAAAAGATGCTTTTGGGGCCATAAGTTGTGAGGCTCAGCAAGCGGTATGACTCCACTGGATTACATGCAGTTGTGTCAAACAATCTCGTAGAAAACGGATGCATTCGAACATCACATCTTCCTGTACATCCACTTTTTATGATTTTACTTTATTTATGCTGACTACATTTTCTAGGCTTTACTAACTGGAGAACCAAGCATTGTTGATGGCACTGCTTCTCTTCTAAAGGCTATTGTAACTAGAAACCCAAAAGCAATGGTTCAACTTTACAGTACTGGGGCATTTTACTTCGCTCTTGCATATCCTGGATCTAATCTGCTTTCTATTGCACATCTCTTCTCTTTAACACATGTACATCAAGCATTTCATGGTGGTGAAGAGGCAGCTGTCTCTTCATCCTTGCCTTTGGCAAAGAGAAGTGTACTAGGTGGACTTCTTCCTGAGTCGTTGTTGTATGTTCTGGAGCGTAGCGGACCTGCTGCTTTTGCTGCAGCAATGGTATCTGATTCTGATACCCCGGAGATTATCTGGACGCATAAGATGAGGGCAGAACATCTTATTCGTCAGGTATTGCATTGTTTTTTGGATCTTGCTGCTTAGTTTGTAATTTGGATATTTTTTATATAACAACACTCTGCATCTGATCTGTTCGGATTTTTCTCTGCCAGGTTTTGCAGCATCTGGGAGATTTTCCGCAAAAATTATCACAGCACTGCCATTCACTGTATGACTATGCACCCATGCCTCCAGTAACATATCCAGAGCTGAAGGATGAGATGTGGTGTCATCGTTATTACCTCCGGAATTTATGTGATGAGATAAGGTTTCCAAATTGGCCTATTGTTGAACATGTAGAATTTTTACAGTCATTGTTGGCAATGTGGCGTGAGGAATTAACTCGTCGGCCTATGGATCTTTCTGAGGAAGAAGCATGCAAGATACTGGAGATATCTTTGGATGACATTACTGTTGCTGATGATGGCTGTAGTAAGCCAGCTAGAGAGATGAAGGAAGACAACTATAGCCCAAGCAAGCAGGTTGAAAACATTGATGAAGAAAAGCTTAAGCGTCAGTATAAAAAATTGGCTATAAAATATCACCCCGACAAAAATCCTGAGGGAAGAGAGAAATTTGTTGCTGTGCAGAAGGCTTATGAGCGGTTGCAGGTATTCTTTCATTCTTGCATTTATAAAAAACCATTTGACAATTAAGCTGGAATTTAACATAGAAAGCCGTTGTTTGCTAATTTAACTGTATCCCTGGAATCAAATTTATGCAAGTAGTCTTAAAGAAAATTAAATATTTGTACATCAAATACTTTTATCCCTTGGAAGTGCTATGACGCCAACCAGATTTTTGGATCATCATTTGCAGTCTTTTATCTCAAGTTGTTTGTCTTGTTTTTCAACAATGCATTTGCTTTTCTTGCAGGATGTTTTTTCTATGTTTTAGAAGGAAAATGTTTTTACTGATCAGAACCATTCAAATTAATTTTTTTTTCTTTCTTTTTTGTTGTGAGCATATACAAGGTTTCAGCCCATAGGCCACAGCCATGCCTGTTACGAGGCTAATTTTATGAATTTCGTTGGATAAGAGGGTGGGCTTTCTTTTATGAATCCTAACTAATATACTTATGAGTTATGCATCAAGAAATTTCTGTATTGAAGGGGAATTTATGTTCCTGTATTGAAGGGAAATTTATGTACAAAATCGATGATGCTATACTTTGATATCGCACGCACACATAGATGTAGAATTTTTAGATATGAAGTGGTGTGGATTCATTCGTAGCCACTACTGGTATAGTTGTAGTGAATATGCTTATAGATTATAACCTGCGGCCCCACAGTTGCAAACTATCATTAACCTATCTAATGTATAAATTTAGTAGATATCCATGTAAGTTTGTGGATATGTGAATTTCATTTGAGTTTTTTCTACTTCAAAAACATTCATTCTACATCCTATTCTTTGTTTATTTCTCATTTTATGCTTAGAACATATAGTGCAATGGATTGTGCAAGAACCTCAATAAACGATATGATAATCCACTACTGCTCTATTTTCTACAAATGTAGATTAGATTTTTAAGAAAGGGCGAATCTAATTATTTGAGAGGAATGCAAGCTTTTTGTTTTATACAAAAACCTTCACATAACTGAAACCTAAGTCTATAAACCTGATGCCTTTAGCAATGGTGAGGAGAGAGAGAGGGGCTGCCAGTAATACAGGAGAACAACTATTTTCTCTTATAGGTTCATGGTGAATGATTGGGTGATGAACTTATATTTTGTCACATTGGCTGATTGGCCATGTGCATTTATCACTTAATGGACCTTACAACTTTTTCACCAAATGAATCATTATCGTACTGACAGTGAACATTATGAAATAGCTACATTTTTTTGTCCTTTGCTTTGCACTGCTTGTGAGCTTGATTTATAAATTAGGCAAGCAATCTTTATCATGGAATATTTTCAAAACAAGCCAGTTAAATTTAGTAGTAATTTTTTTATCTCCTTACATTTTGCCATCATAAATGCATATACTCACATCTCTACTACAATCTATCGATTGTTGCATTTTTGTACATTTGCCTATGCATGTGGCTGTGCTAGTTTGTGTAAGGAGTGGTAAAAAATGAATGATACTAAAAGATTGTGCCAAAGAAAGACTAGCAATTGTTAATGCTACATCATGTCAACTCTATTTATCGATTGCTTTTAGTATTCCGCCAAGCTTGTATACTTCATTTGTGCATCACATTTTGTGCGCAGGCGACAATGCAAGGACTTCAAGGTCCACAAGTTTGGAGGTTGCTGCTTTTGCTGAAAGGACAATGTATTTTATATAGACGTTATGGTGATGTCTTGGAACCTTTCAAATATGCTGGCTATCCTATGTTGCTTAATGCGGTAACTGTGGATGAAAGTGACAACAATTTCCTTTCATCTGAAAGAGCATCTCTTCTAATTGCCGCATCTGAACTAATTTGGCTAACGTAATGAAATTGATTCTCAGTATAGTATTTTCGTATGGTCTGTATTTTAGTATTAAAGGTACAGAGCGGTCATTGTTGAATCTTACTGTTCATTTTCAGGTGCGTTTCTTCTTCCTTGAATGGTAAGGAACTTATCAGGGATGGTGGCATATCTTTGCTTGCAGCACTACTTTCTCGCTGTATGGGTGTAGTACAGCCAACAACTCCTCCAAATGAACCTGCAACAATCATTGTCACAAATGTGATGCGTACATTTTCAGCATTAAGTCAATTTGACACTGCAATAACAGAGATGCTGAAGTTTGGCGGCTTGATTGAGGATATTGTTCACTGTACTGAACTGGAACTTGTTCCATTGGCTGTTGATGCCGCCCTTCAGACTGCAGCACATGTTTCCGTGTCTGCTAAAATGCAGGATGCTTTGCTTAAAGCTGGTGTATTATGGTATGTTCTCTGTGTTGCAACTAAGTTTCTGGTTATTTTTATTTCCCATTTATTACCTGGAGGGCCTGGATGAAATTATTGACCATCTTAAATAGTTTGATTGAGACTTTGAACATTATGATACTGGAAGAAATTGCTGTTGCGTATGTGTCATATAAAATATCTGTTTTAAACTTTAAATTTGAAAACATTCTAGAAGTTAGGTTCATCTTATTTTAAGTTTCAGCGTTGGCAATTTATTCAAGGAAAATGAATATAATTAATGGGGAAGCATCCATTGAATGTTTAAGTTCTTCTTTGTTTTAGGGGCATTAATTCCGTTTTCCTCATGTTTTGATTTTCATTTATTTCTTAAATGATAAAAAAATATTTTCCAGGTATCTATTGCCTCTGTTACTGCAGTTTGATTCTACAGCAGAGGAAAATGATTCGGGTGAAGCACATGGTGTTGGGGCTAGTGTGCAGAAAGCTAAAAATCTCCATGCTGTCCGTGCCGTCCAGGCTCTTTCAAGGCTATGTGGTTATGGTGGTGATGGGGTGCCAATTCCATATAATCATTCAGCTGATAATGCACTCAGGGCATTGCTAACTCCTAAACTTGCTAGCATGCTAAAAGCTCAAGAGCCAAAGGACCTTCTATCAAATCTGAATTCTAACCTGGAGTCTCCTGAGGTGAAACCAAGTACTGTTATCATATATAGTGGTTTGGAATGTTGAAGTTATGATAATGTTCATGTTTTCTATTGACTTTTTCAGACGGGTTCTTTCATTTTATTGTCACCTATATAGGAATATAGTTTTTGTAGATTGTGAACTTATAGTTGCAATTATGTGGCTGATATTCGAAGAAATTTTCAACCCTACATAGCATGCGGTGCAAATGCTTTGAAAATAAGATACCAGAGTTAACCCAAACTGCAGTAGGAAAAGCAAATATTATTACCGGAAATAAATAAACAGTTACACTTAAACACGCTTGAAAGGGAACTTACAACAAACGTGACACAAACTTACGCTAGGGCTCGAAACATGGGTGGTGGAGGTCGGTTAGGTGGTCAGGGAATGTAGGTAGGTTTGGAAATGGTTTGGGTGATTGGGACAACAAAAGGAGGGCCTGGAATTGTGTTGGCGGTCAAGCAGAGGGCTGGGACTGCGAGAGTAGCAAGTGGGGTGGCAAACGGTGTGGCGAGGTGTGGTGGGAAAGGCTGGAACAGCTAGAAGACTGCAAGAAAACAACAGGTTTGTTGTTTTCCGGATGACCGCAATGAAGGGATGAAGCAAGGGACTTCGGGACAGCAAGGGCCGGCTACAGTGAAAAACAGCAAACGAGTGTTGTTCGGGGCGGCTGCAGCGAGAGAGGATGGTCGAGAGTGTTGCGGGGAAGATGCAGAAGGGAATAAGGATGATAATCACAACCTCGGAGAGAGATACAGTTGGAGCACTGCCCAATCCCTTGGATACAACCCTCGAAGGGAGACGAATGGACGCCGGTGGATGTCCGAAACAAAACACGCAAAAAACTAAATATTAGGAATACCCATGATCAAAATACTGTGGAACATCCATGAATACTCAAATCTTCTAAAAGTATGGATTTTTTGAATGTCTGAAGTTATTTTGAAGAATTTTTCAGTACTAACTATATGTTTTCGAATGGTACAAGAAACATAAATTGAAATTAGGTGGTAACTGATGTGTCATCAATTAATTTTTATCATTAAGGATGAACCTCGATGCTTTTTAGTAAGAAATTTTCTAAACTCAAATTCATGTACTTCCAAGCTTCGATTGCAACAAGTTTATGGGCAAATTGATTGTCTTGATAAAACAAATCCATCGATACCAAAATGGGTTCAATCCGAGCCTACTCAAGCTCAGATCAAACCATTGAAGCACAATTGGAGGTTTTAGATTGTCAATTGAATAGTAAAAAAAAACTCCAAATGTTCATATTTATTGTCAAATTCAATAGAAGGAATTATATGAATTATTATAAAACAATTGGATTTTTCGATAGCATGGAATTTGAATTTGCCTCTGCCTTAGTACATTTTCCTAAACCTACATTTGAACAAGGGTTGTTTCTTAAATTTGAATTGAGTTTGAAACCGAATTCTAACCTTTATTAGGAGCTGAACTTGCAGTTCAAATTTTTTTAAACCTAAAATGGAGTTTGAATAATATAAATTGGTGATAAAAATGATTTTATTCTGAACTATAAGACTAAATCCTAAGTGAAACTGTTGAATTTGAACGGTTATTTATAATAAAAATTGTGTTCATTTTTTTCTGATGACTTCAAATTTCTCATAAAAACTCTTAAAAGTATGAACTTGGGCTAGTAAAAGATTTTGAATCCATTTCTAAATATCTATTGAACAAATCACGCTTTGGTATACAGATTCAAATCCTTGTTGAATTGCAGAATTGACCATGTCTGTATGTGGTCTTAAGTTTATTCAGATAATTACAATTTTTATTATTTTAGATTCTCTTATGAAGAGGAAAACCTTTCTGTTTGGTGTGTTGTAGGCAAGTTGAACTCCATTATTACTTAATTTTTTTTTTCTTTTGTGATTTGTCACTTTTCATTCTGTCTACAGATTATTTGGAACTCTTTGACTCGGGCAGAACTTCTTAAATTTGTAGATGATCAGCGTGCCAATCAAGGCCCTGATGGTTCCTATGATATGACTGAATCATATTCCTTTTCTTATCAAGCACTTTCTAAAGAGCTACGTGTTGGTAACGTGTATCTGAGGGTGTATAATAATCAACCAGATTATGAGATAAGTGATGCAGAGACCTTCTGTGTCGCTCTTCTTGAATTTGTATCAGATCTGGTGCATAAATTGAGTCATTTGAACTCTTATGTCCAAACTAGGGCTGATCCTAATAATGCTCTTAATGAGCCATCAAATGTTCAGGATAGACAAAACAATGTGGAAGCTTCTGATGATGGCTTTCTATCCTCCAGAATAGAAGAGAAAAACAAGGAAGAAGATGAACCAGTGAAGAATCTTAAAGTTGGATTGATTGCTCTTCAGGTATATCAATTTTATGGAAGTTCGTGTGATGATTTTCTTGTTAATTATTGTTTTTTTTTTAAATTTTTCATGCAGAACCTGTTGACACGCAATCCAAGCCTAGCTGCTATTTTTTCAATGAAGGAACGACTTGCACCTCTTTTTGAGTGTCTTACTGTTGGTTTTCCTGCTGGGAACAGTATACCTCAAATTTGTCTTGCTGTACTTTCGCTGTTAACGGCATATGCTCCTTGCTTGGAGGCTATGGTTGCAGAGAGGGAAAGCCTTATCCTTCTTTTGCAATTGCTCCACAGCAGTCCTGCGTGTAGAGACGGAGCTCTGGCTGTACTTTATTCTTTAGCAAGCACCCCGCAGCTGGCTTGGGCTGCAGCTAAACACGGTGGAGTGGTCTATTTTCTGGAACTTATTTTACCATTACAAGGTAAATTAATCCTACTCAACTCTACTATGCTTGCAAGCCAATTCTCGTGAGACTACTCATGGAATTCCATCACACTGATATTTTATCATTTTTTTTTTTATTAATTAGATAGTGTTCTATGTTTTCTAGATACAGGGTGATTTTTCTGACCTTTTCATGCCAGTCTTTATGGGTTGACACTATTCCTTTCTTTGGTTATTTAGTAGCCTGGTTGGACAAATATTCAAAAGCTGATTAATATGCAGTACTTTTGAGCTCCATACAAAACTGTATAGTCAATGATAAAATATTCAGCCTCTTTGCCATACCCACAACACCACCACCAACCCGTTGGAATAACACATAATTTCTACCTTTGCAGAAGAAATTCCTTTGTCACAGAGAGCGGCAGCGGCTTCACTGTTGGGCAAGCTGGTTGGACAGCCAATGCATGGACCTAGGGTGGCCATAACTTTAGCAAGGTTTCTACCAGATGGCTTGGTTTCGGTCATTAGAGATGGACCTGGTGAGTCTGTGATTGCCGCACTCGAACAGACAACTGAAACTCCTGAACTTGTTTGGACACCTGCAATGGCTGCTTCTCTTTCGGCACAGTTGTCAACAATGGCAACTGATCTTTACAGAGAACAAATGAAAGGCAGTTCTGTTGACTGGGACATAACCGAGCAATCATCCGGTCCACATGTTATGAAAGATGAGCCACAGGTAGATATTATTTTATATGTGCTTCATATCACTGTTGAGAAAAATATTAAATTTCTTGGTAGTTTATGACATGTACTGTAATGCAGGTTGGAGGCATTTACGTCAGACTATTCTTGAAAGATCCTAAGTTTCCCTTGAGAAATCCTAAACGATTTCTGGAAGGACTTTTGGATCAATATGTTTCATCAATTGCTGCTACACATTATGAAACACAAGCTGTTGATCCTGCGCTTCCTTTGCTTCTGTCTTCTGCATTGGTGTCCCTGATACGGGTTCATCCCACCCTAGCAGATCACGTTGGTTATCTTGGTTATGTTCCAAAACTTGTTACTGCTATGGCCTATGAAGGAAGGCGAGAAGCGATGACATCTGTGGAAGGGAAAACTGGAAGTGAAGATGGATCATCAGAGGCTGGTGAAGAGACTGCACAAGGGCGTGTGCGTCGAAGTTGTTTGCTTGTGCTGCATCATCTGGCTAATAGCACAACCTGTGCTGAAGCTATGGCAGCGACAAGTGCAGGAACTCCCCAGGTATTAATAATGTGCAAAACAGATGCCCTCTAATTTGGTCTGTTAGTTCATGCGTGGTTCACTGAAATTTTTAATCTTTGTTCTGCAAACTGCATGCCATTCAAGTTAATAGAAATGTTTCTTTCGAAATACCATTTACCAATTTGTCGTCCAATTTACTGAATTTAAATACTGAGTATCTCTGTGCACTTGTAATTCAGTAAGACTTTTTCCTCTGACAATGAGTTTTTTTTCTTCATTGTTTTCAGGTCGTACCTTTACTCATGAAGGCAATAGGGTGGCAAGGCGGTAGTATACTTGCATTAGAGACTCTAAAACGTGTTGTTGTTGCTGGAAATCGAGCAAGAGATGCATTAGTTGCTCAAGGGTTGAAGTATGTTTCTACTTGAATTTTATTATTAGTGTTGCATTTTCTTTTTATTTGAAGTACCATTATTTTTTCAAATGCTTTCAACATAAACTGGTAGATACCAATTGCATCAGAAGAGTACCAGTTCAATTAACTCTTTTCTTCAGTTTATGTGATCGTCAAACTGGATGCTGTTTTATTGCTTGAATATTGTAGGGTTGCCCCTTGGTGGGAGATGACAATAACTTACGATTAATCTTTTCTTTTTTCCTCTCATCTGGATATCTTTAACATATCAAATGCAATGCATTTACTGTTTTGTCATTTTATTAGAATATTGTCCTTTTGAATTAACATTTTTTGCCTAATCTTGCATAGTGATCAATTTCACGCTTTGTTACTGGTTTCATAATAATTTTACGATGTTTTGGAATTTTTGTGGTAATTTTTTTTTCAAGTTACTCTCTTATTATATGAATGCCTTTGCAACATATGATAGACTTTGGGTTCCTATAGATTAGAAAGCACTTTATTTTAATCACTTCATTTTATTCTTTACAGTAATTTATCTCTTTATTTTCCTGCGTCACTAGTGTAGTCCGCTACTTTTCATAAATCATAAACTTGTACTCATAGTTTGTGTGATACTTTTTCATCAAGTTTTGTTTCTTTATACATCATTTGAAGCTTTAGCTGTGAAATTTACTTTTTATGAACAAAAATCCCTTCCACCCCTCTCATTTTCCCAAAAGCTTTTGAGTTCTTCTTAAGTGGACCTCACCTCGAAGTGACGAGTGTCATTCTGGTGTTTGCATCATTGAGTATAGCAGAAATGAAAGCAAGAAGGAGATTGATGTCGATCTTCTGAAGTCCTTTTTTAGACTGTATTAGAGATTCCTTTGCTAGATGTTGGAAATCTTTGTGTTTGTACTTGGCTGAAGATTTTAGCAAATAAATGATAAATTCAAATTTAATTAGTTTTACTTGTAGAATCTTTCAAATGTTAAAGAAAGGACTGTACTTAACCTAATTGTCGAATTGTCAACCATAGGAGTGAATATGATGGGCCATAAGTATCTGCAAGAAATCAAGAACGAAAAAAAAAAGGAATTAAGGTTTATGTGGTTAGAGGAGATCCGCATATGTTGATGATCTCACAGTGATAAACATCAAGAGAGTATACATGGAAGATTTTTGTAGATATTGGAAGATGAGTAAAGCTTACCACTTTGGTGGAGGAAAACAAATTTCTTTGTTGTTACTTCTACGAATCAAGAAGAAAAGATTTAACCTCTTTTTATCATTGGTGAGAAAACAAGCATTCTGGTTACCTGTCTTAAGGTTTCCAAGCGCTACTCAAGAAGTTTCCTGTTTCGCAACATGCCTGAGCCTATTTCTACATTCTTTTGGTTCACCTGAAATTTCCACCCTCAATTGAAATTTTTTTTTTTGTTCTTTTTCTTTTGCATTGAATTGTACTTTTGAATGGGAAACAAGAGGGAGGTCACTAAAGGTGATGTAATATATGAGAGAATATATAAACATTGAAGCTCTCTTAACCCCATTTGAAGGAAATAAGGTCTCAAATATCTCACAAATGAATGCAAGATTCTTATATATCAATCCCTCCTGAAGAAATTCAAATCAAATCTCAATCAAAGATTGTTCAATAATGTGAAAATTATTTGATTTATGTGTAGTTATCCGTTTTAGGAACAAATTTAATTCTCCATATGCATCTAAAAGGCATTTAGGACATGCCTATGAATGCATGACGCATTCATAGGCATTGTTTAACCTGATTTTCTTATGCTAGTTTGGTTTACATTGTTTAACCTGATGTCAAGATTGCTCACTTTGCAATTAATTTTTAATTCAATTATTTTGGTTCAAGTGCTCCCTATAGGTTGGGTTTTTTGTTTGTGGTCATATATGAGCTCATAACTATATGTGAGTACGTACTGTCAAGATTTTTGAGATAAGGGAATTTGCATTATTTTCTTTTTAACAGTGATGTTTGAAATTTAGATCATATTTTGTCTTGAATTTTAGTGAAATTGAACTAGGATGATTTTGTTTAGATCATATTCACCAATCTGGCGATGAAAATTTTATAGATGGAAGAGGTTTAGAAGATCCGGCAGAGTATTAGTAGTGTTGGACCCTTTAGTGAACATCTTGTTAGCAAGTGGTTGGTGGAGGGGATTTAATTTGATGGGAGGGATATTATTTGGTTTGGTGTTTTTGGAATAATAGTGAAAACTATGTGGGAGGTGGTTGACGAGGAATTCAAAACGCTCAAGGACAGATTAGTAATTCCTCCTCCTTTCATGTTTGGAAGATTCTAAAAATATCACCTTATATGAGAAAGATTTTATATTTCAAATAAAGGTTGATTTTGGACAACTAATTCAAATTTTTATTTTATTTTTTTATTATTTTTCCTTATGCCTCCTATTTAATTTTTTAAATATAACCAAGGATTGATTTTGATCTTTTAGCTCTAATGTTGCCGCTGGCATCCACGCATTTATGAGTATAAAAGGAGAAAAATAACTTTAGCTCTTTTCAAATTCAACATGTTATTAGAGCACCGAGTCTGATGTAATTTTATTTCATCCTGTGCTCTAAACTGGCTTGCTTTGGCATGAATTATAAAAGTTTTTCTTGATTGCATGCCTAACTTCTATATTATCTTTAGCATCCTATGGCTTGGCTGATGTCCTGATCTATTTTTATATTGAGCCTTCTTTTTGTATGTCCTACTTTAAGGCTTGTGAGTCCCATGTCTCCGCTCACTCCCTGTGAGTGGATTGACACTCACATGCTCTGCTTCATGCTTGTGTCTTGGCCTTGTGCATGCAGATCATTCTTCCATGATAGGATTTTCTTCGCTTATACCTTTACCTTTGACATCTTTCTTGCCTATGTGAGCGGCTTTTTTTTTATTATTTTCATTGAATAAACTTCCTCATCGATGGCTTGTTTCTGAGCTTATTATTTCTTTAAGTTTCCATCAGCGTTGAGAAAGGAAGAGGCCAATTTTCTTCTTTTTAATTTAACCTAGTGAATGACAGTGATGGCAAAGTCTGACATGGTACAAAAATAATAGTTCGACCTCAGATCTTACATCCAAGCTTGAAGCAGCCATCACCAACAACTTTAACTGAATCATACGTTTGTTCTCAAGGCAAACTCAATGGGCAAAACTACATATAATGCTTTCAATCCATTTTGATCTTTATATGTGAAAAAGGGAAATTATCTCATTATAGAGTTTGTAGAGTCATAATTTGGAAATTGAAAGCATGGCAACATGGTTAATTGACTCTACGACAAATGACATTCGAAACATTTCGTACATTACTAGACAACTAAAGAGATATGGAAAGCAATGAAGGAAATATGCTCCAACAAAGGTAATACATTAGAAATTTTTGAGATTAAGGGATCCATGGTCTATATGATGAGATAAACTCCCAAAATTGAATTTATATAAACTTTTGCTAGAAATTGACAGCAGCTAGATATCTTTGAAGAATTAGAGTGAAGTATCCTGAAGTTGATCAAAATTAGATCTACAAAATAAAGCCATTGTAAAGCCTTGAGGATTCCATCTATGGAGTTAAAAGAAAATAAAGTTGGAAAAAAATGTTGGGAACTCATGCATTATCCCAATTATCAAAGCGGTTTGCTCTAGTTCATTGTTTAAACTTGCGACATTTATGGCTTGTCTTAGCGCTTTTTAGGAATCACAACAGAGAGAGCTAGGGGATGAGAGCAGAGAAGAGAAACCTAGGGCACGGTATGAGGGGATTGTCCCGGGGTATTATCGCAAAGTTAAAACAGGAAACGCGGGCCACGGGGCTTGACCCGCGGCCGGTGTGTAATAGAAAAGGATCCTCACGGATCCTCGAACACACTCCAAATGCACGAAACAAATAAAAGGGGCGGCATTTTGGAAACGCATAAGCAGCAAATAAGTTGCCCCAACCCTAAGGGTCTGTTTGGGGCAGCTGTAACTTATTGAATAATCTGCTGATAAACTGATTAAAAATAATCTGTTGATAAGCTAAGTGCGGTGGCTATTACAAATTTTTATTTTTTTAAAAAAGCTAGATTGTTGCCAATAAGCTCCCACCGCACCTATCTAGGTGCGGTCTGAAAACGCTTTTTTCTACGTTTTGAAAACGCATAAGCTGCCAAAACGCAGTTTAACCAAGCAGGTCAGATGCGTTTTCAAAACGCCACCTCACCAAATAAGCTGCCTCAAATAGGCATTAAGTCTTCAGATTTCCCCTAGAGTAGCGGGGAATCGTTATTTAAATGGCCTTGAAAGGTATTTGATCCATAATATCCTTCATGGAAATGTCGGGTGCTGCTAGTTGAGGTACTATTGGTGTGGTTGATTTATTGCTTGATTTTGCTTGGCTTCTAGTAAAAGTTAAAAGGAGTTGCACCTCTTGAAGAATATTCACCACCACAGAAATATTAAACAGACAATGCTTGATTTTGCTTGGCTTCTAGTAAAAGTTAAAAGGAGTTGCACCTCTTGAAGAATATTCACAACCACAGAAATATTAAACGGATTGTCTGTTGCTGCCGCAATTGAATTGATGAACTTATCTTCCCGGTTGCTGTTGTCAGCATAAACGCACAGAGTTTCCCTTCTCAACAAGAGCACCAATTCATGGAGCCTCCTATGAGCTCCCTTTTGATATACCACCTGAAGTAGATACTTGTTAGAGATGAATCATGGACAAGGAGGAATTAGAAGGATGGGCCTGATGGAAGGAAAATAAAATGCATGAGGGAGAAAGTATTGTTAGGGAAACTTTTGACAATTGCTATTTATACCCACCTCTCTCATTCCCCACATTCTCACATGATGATTAGCACCACTTTTCAGACAACCTTAAGAAGCCTAAGTAATAGGAAATAGACATTTGTCAAAATAGTTACATAACAACATTTTGCATGTATAAACTAGATTTATCACCCCCCTTTCCACCCATTCTCATTCA